CATGCAGCAAATGCTCCTGTCTTTTTATTAGCCTGAACCTTTTTATTTATTTAAATCAAATCACAAAGGCAAAATAAAGATAGGTTTGTGAAAGCTTTCATGTTGTGATGCTTTATCTAAACAACAGCTTTCATATAGAGTTACCCAAAAAGCCCTCCTCCTAAGACATCCTTATTTCATTAGGAATTTCGGCCTTCTTTCCCCCACCCCTCCCCAGGGAGGTTAAAGAGAGATGGCTCAGCAGTGCAGAGTATTTCACAGTTCATTCATTCATTTTACTGATATCTGAGTCTTAACTGTGTGCAAGGCACAAATAATTGGCAGAAACAGGTTTTACCATCGTATAAAGAGTAGCTTGCTTTTCTGATAGCACTGCCCCTACTGTTGAACATTGATGAGTAAACTTTTAAAAGTATTCTAGCTGAAACAGAACTAGTTTCCTGTTTTTCAGTACTCCCTTTTGGAAAAGTTATTTTGATTTCTGTATAATTTTAGGAAGAACTTTAAGGTGTTACAGGTGTCCACTCACATAAGATCAGTGATAACCAAATCACTGACTGGGAGTGACTCTGCTATTCCACAGGGGCAACTATAAACTATTTTTAAACAACAAATAGTTCTTATTTCTAGTTTTGCTTTGAGCATAGGACCACAAGTACTAGATCTCAAATTATCCTTTCAGGACATTGTGATGAATGAAACTGAGGTTGTCTTTTAAGTCTATATGTGTTCTCTTTAAAAAATATTTTTGGAAAATTAGCCAAATTATGGCTCACAGTAGTTATTCCATTGTGGAAGTGCAGTTCAGGACCTGCCCCAATTACTGTAATCATTCAGCTGGCTTGAGGCCAAGGGCTCTTTCCTAGACACCTACCCGCAGGGAGGCCCCTCTCTCTCAGTTGGTGAGTATGGAGCTTCTGTGCTTTAAGAGGGCTCACCTTTCCTGTAGCCAAGTAGAACTTAGGTCCCAGGGCTCGCAGCCGTTAACAGCTCTTCAGTGAAAAACTTAGGGAAGACTGAGGCAAACAGGCAATACCTGAACCCATGTGGACCTAAAGGCTGTCTCTCCTTTGCCAGGAATGCTTTCCTGTCCCCTAGCAGAGGCGGGACTACTCCCAAGAAATGGAGCCTTTGAAAACCCATTTCTGTGCAAGTTGGGTGGGCCCTGGGGAACTGGTCTTTGGACCTGGAGTCAGATAGAGTTCTTTTCTGGGTTTGCATACCTTCTATTAGTATGGACAGATCTATCCTTGCTGCTAGTCCCTATATAGTGAGAGGTGATTCCTCATAAAAAGGAGGTTAGCCTGCTGCATCAGCGTCACTGAGTTTTGTAATCATGTTTTCATGGCATCAGTTTTCGCTTGTCAGAGTTTAATTCAGGACTCTAGTACCATCTGATGCATTCATCCCTTGATCTGTTTTCCTTATTAGTAGTACAACTATTATAGGAGAGATGTCAGTGATGCCAGGTTAATTAAAATATTTGGCGTTTGCTTCCCTACTGGTAAAAGTTGAAGAGTTGCTAGGCACCAGAAGAGAGTGAACATTATCTGTATTGCCAAACCCTACTTTTAGGTTGGAGTTGGAGACATTAGCCACCAGAACCTGTTACACCTGGTCTTAGAACTCCAGTGGAACCTGAAATGTGGATGGGCATCTTGCTTCAAATGTACCTCCATCCCACTCTTAGGAAAGGCACTTCCTGCTTGGCCTTCTGCCATGGGACACCCTGGACAAGCTGTTCTTGGAGTCTCCACCAGGCTTTTCCTCTATAACTGATGTTGTGTTGCCTGTGTCCTAGATCTGCTTGTGACACCTATAATCCTGCACATGGGAAGTCTCAGTGGTAAAGTAGTTTTGAAATACAATTGGCTCCCTCTCCCTTCCTTGAAGTGATGGTAGTTAATTTGGGGGGAAAGAAGATAGAGTTTGTTCCTTAAGCCAACTTTCTGTACCAATTAAACATAAACAGCTTCAGTAATGCCATTCTCTGGATGAAAGGGAATTAGGTAGCATTTTTCTTTCCAAAAGGCATAGAATCTCAGTCAGTAAATAGGGGACCAATGATAGCTCTTAATCTAAGCTAGCTAAATACCTTACTAGCGGGAGGTTATAGCTCAGTGGTAGAGTGCATGCTTAGCATGCGCAAGATCCTGGGTTCAATCCCCGGGACATCCATTAAAGAAAAAAAAGGGGTTTCTTAAAACTAAAAAAATACATACCATACCATGCCATACTGAGTGGTCTGAGGGCCAGGGCATTCATGTGGAAATCTGAAAATGCCCACGTCTGCTGTATTTTTCTGCCAATGGCATAGGACCCATTTAGTTTATCTGTAAAATGGGCATGCACAACAGCTCCTTGGCAAAGTCATGAAGTCTGTTCTCCAAGCATTCCACACAAGTCACAAGGCAAGGGCTTGCTTTGTAAGAGCCAGTGTGAATATGTGGAGCTTTGGTCTGGAAAGCAGTTAAATTTAGAGTGAAGGAACGAATAGTTCACAGAAAACAAATGCTGTTTGTTCTTCGGGTTTTCTTTTCTCTGAGCATTTTTTCCTGCACAGAGACCTTTAAGCATTGTATTGGTTCTAAATCTTACAGGAATCACAGCCTTTATTGCCTTCCTTGAATTTTTCTGGATGAATGAATGTTGCTGGGAAGCACTGAGAGCAGCTTGTTACAAGCTGCTTTAATTTTTACCTCTGGGGTCTGTGACCCTCCAACCAGGCCCCCCAAATGGATTCTAAGAGTTTTTTGCTCCTCTAGCACTTGGTTGAATGGGTGGGTGCTATGACTACCAAGGTGGTTATAGCCTTAGCTTGCCTGCTGGAGACATGATTGACTCAGGGGCTGGCAGGCATATGGCATTTTAATCACCCCTGCTCTGCTTACCAGCTCTGTGCCCTTGATCAGGTTACCTCACCTCTCAGAACTTGGAGATTGTACTTGTCTTAATTTATCTTCATGAAAATTAAAGAGAACATGTTAAAGTGCTATAGCAGCAAGCACATGGCACATAGTTGATGCTCTTATCAATGTTGCCCATCCCCCGAATTCACCTCTTCAGGGTTTTTGTGTTCAATAATTCCACCAAGCAGCTAGACATAACTTCTGGTCTTTTGAGGCTTTATATGGAGAGAGGGAAAAAAAGCAAAAGCAATTTCAGTGCTTTCCACTGAAAAAACTGGAAAGTTTGATCTCATGGTCCCTATTCTTGGCAGCTTTGACTTCTGGCATTATAAGCATGAACAGAGAACATTTTTTCTTATAATACTGTTTTTTTAGCCTCCTTGGCTAGGTACTTTGTGTCAATGCCTAGAACCTTAAATCTGGAAAAATTTAAGGAACAACCTGAGATCCTGAGAGGAGGGGACCTTACCCAAGGTCACTTGGTGAGCTAGTACAGAGCTGGGAGCAGAACCCAGGTCTCTTTGTCTCAGTTCTGCATGAGCTGCATCCCACCGCAGTAGAAACCATGAGGTTGTGCATCTCTAGCAAGCACTTCCAGAGAGCCCAGCCTCTCCTGGGACCTGGGAGACGGTGACCAAATGGATGGCATGACTCAGACACTGTATCCCCAGACCTAAGCAGCTGTTTAAAAACTTGGGTTGGAAGGGCCAGTATTCTTTGACTTAAAGGGGTCTGACACTCCAGGTAGTAGTCTGAAAAATACCTGTCCTCTTTTAGTTATTAATTCAACAAATACTTATTGGGTATCTACTAAGGGACAGGTACCATGCTAGGTGCTAAGGAGATGACAACAAACAAAACAAAGTCATACTGATAAGGGATTTTAATCACTGGCAACCCTGCAACGAAGCACTTGTATTCCTTTTCAAAGAAATGTGTCATTCTTTTAAGAAAATCAAATTCTGACTGCCCACATCCCATCAAACTAATGGAAAATGTCATCTCAGTCATTCTTGTGCCTCCTCACCCCAATTGTGCCTAGATTCAGGATTCTTGACATAGTTGTCAAGCATCGGGAAACCCCTCTGGTCGATTGTCATGGTATGGCTGTGGCACCTCCTCTCCATGCCCATTTGACCCCTTTGATCCAAAGGTCCTGCTGTATCTGGGCCAGTTTGGGGTGTAGGACCTTAGTGAGAGTGGTTACCAGTTAGCTTTGCTCTCCTGGGTCTTTTCAAGAAGCACTGTCCAAGGTGGAGTGGGGTGAAGGTGGAGGGAGGCACAGGACATCCTCTAGCAAGTTCATGAAGCTGCTTTTGGTGTGGGCACATCTTAGTGTCTCATTCTTAACAAAAGGGAAAAGTGAGACTATGAAGCCTTCTCCAGCAGCCAAGCAGCATAGAAAATGCCTTTGGGAATTTGGAATAAACCTTATCATCATATGGCAAGGGAGAAGCAATGTGGAGAGAACAAAGATCAGTCCTGAGTTTGAATCTTTGCCTTTTACTACCCATGTGACTTTGAACAAATCTCTTAATCTCTGCAGTCAGATGGGCATCAGCCAAATGGATGTAATAATACTCACTTGGCTTTGGGGATGAGGATTAAAGACAATGTACACAAAGCCCCTGCTATCCTGCCTGTAACTAGGTGGACAGTGGCTGCAGTGTTTTTGTTGTTGAAGTAATTGTCATCAGCCAGCAGTAGCCTACACCTGAGGATAAAGTGTAGAAAGTGGTATCCAAGGATCTTTAGCAGAGAGGTTGAGATATTGTCAAAAAGGAAGGAAGGCTTTGTGACCTGGGTGGAGGAAGGTTGGCACCAGTTGATCTAGCATCTGAAAGACGAGAAGTCTGTCCCCTAGCCACCTCTCTCTTGGATGGTGTGATTGAGTGAGAACACTTAGCAACTTGAAATGTGCTGATACTTGGCTTCTTGAGATTTTGCATGGCAAGAACAACCCGCAGGCCTTGTCTGTGCCCTTGGGCTTCCTTCTGGCTCACTGGGAATGACTAATTCTTTTACTTGGTTTGGTTGTCAAATTGTACCTGCCTGTGTCTACCATCACTGACTGTGTTCACTCTCTTCCAGGGGCTCCACGGGCCTTATCCCTTCGGCCAGTCTTAAACGGGTGTCAGCAAGAAGAAAAATTTACAAAAGACAGAAGGCTTGACTTTGGGGGGGAGGGCAAGGGGTTCCTCTGGATTGCAGACCACATCGCGTGGACCCCTGCCTCTGACCCCCCATCCTGGAAGAAGAGGAAGACACAGAACAGACTAGTTTTGAGTAAACTCAGTATGCATGTGTGAATGCTGATTCGCAGGAATGGTGTTGAGGCTACCAAGAAGAAATCCGTGCAGCCACTTTGGGTTTTGTTTATTAAGTGTCAGTCTAGCAAGTCATTAGGTCACTCGAGAAGGAAAAAAAAAGTTTAAAATGGGGGAAAAAAGCCATCTTTTTAAACAAAAATTATTTTGCCTACAGACAGGTTGTAGTTTTGAGCACATGTTAATTTTCTCCCCTCTTTCCCACTTTTATTTTTTTTAGATAAGGGATAACATACTCTTTATAGAATAGCTGCTTGCTCTGGAAGCGATTCAGGTTGGAAGCTGGCGTGGCATGTTTGGGGACTCTGCGGGTCAGTGCCACATGACTCCACAAGTCTCTGACCCCATTTGTTTTTCATGGCATCAGCCAATGAGTTATCACCCTTTTCCTCTTCTTTTCTCGTTAATCTTCTGTTGATTTACACCTTTGACATTTGTATTCGTCAACCCTGTGGCTTGTTACCATCAGAACCTCTCTGAAGACCAAACTTCCCTGTGTGGCCAGCGGAGGAAGCCTTGAGGACAGATCTCGGGTGACGTGGGAGTTTCTGAGGCTGAGAGGTGTCCTTCTGCACACACTTGTAACAATTCAAATTGCTTTCCTTCCATGTTTCTCTTGGCAGAGAGAAATGCCATCACGCTTACTGCTCTTCTTGATTCTTTGTACACAGTGGCCCCCATTCACTCTGGGAACAGTGCCTCTGTGCTGCATATGTGCGTGTGCCACGTGCACACACACACGGGTGTTGGTGCAGCTCACCAGCGATTGTGCAGCAGGCAAATGTGAAGGTTTCCCATGCTTCTCTGTTGTCACACAGCTCCTTTCCCTGTGTTCCCCTCCAGTTGTCCTTTGTGGTGGTTTCACAGCCTGTTAGTGGAAGCTGAGCTGTTAAGGTATGAAAATATAGCCCCAGATGGGGAATTTGCCATGGGGAAGGGCCATAGCTACCACATTTTGATGGAACTGAAAGGTCCCCAGCCCTGAGCAGGATGCTTGGTTATTGGGAGGTGGTGGGCAAAGGGCAGCCCTGCCAGAGCACAGGCTGATTAGCTGGCTGCTCACTTGGACAGGTGGCCCCACTGGCATCCTGTGGATTCCAAGCAGTTTGAGATGTGGATATCTCCATGGAAAGTTTGAACCAGGCTAGAACAGCTGTCTGCCAAAGATACAAGAATATGCAAAGTCCCTCTTCTCTTCTTACCCCTCCTTCCCTCGAGTCTTGGTTGGTTGATAGCCAGGGATATGGGTCTAGGTGTGGGTGCAGAGTTGCCTGCCTGTTCCCACACCCCCACCCATCCTGGGGGTGTGAGACCAGCAGGGAGACCAGGTCGATGAGCGGCTGCAGTGGGTCATACAGCCTGGGTGTGGGTGAGGGTCTGCCTGCCTGTCTCTCTTTCTGGGTGTCTGAGAAAAAAATGTGTGTTGTTTGTTCCTCCTCATCCTCTTCTGAGACTGTTGTTTTTTTAAAGCTTGATTGTGAGAGAAAAGTTTGTATGAAATTCCCCCTTTGCCTTCCCACCTCCCAAAAAATTGAAAGGGGGAATAAACATTGGTCCACTGGAGAGGTCCTGAGGGAGGGTGGAGCCAGCCTGCTGAGAGAGCAGTGCAGCTGGGGCTGGACTCGGGCTCACAGCGGAGCACCTACTTTCTATGCACACAAAGAGTACCCCATTCCCAAGCAGAGCAGATGGGAGTCCCTGCCAGGTGCCCAGGCCACCCCAAGCCCAAGCAGGGGCTCACGATAGCTTTTTGTCTGGGGGCCCTGTTAGGCCCAGACTTCTGCTACTGTTGGTGCCAACCTCCTGGACACCACCACCCTGGAGCCTACACATGCCCAGCCGTTTTCCTCACTAGATAGCCTCAGAGCGTCACATCTTCAGCTGCCCTGGTGGGATCGTGGGAAGCTTTCCATCCCCTGGTTTCCTGGTTTCCTGGCTTCCTCATCTGCCCCACACTAGGCGCCCCTTCCCCTTCCCAGGAGGGGCTGCCTGCCATGATTCAGCAGTGACTTCATAGGTCACCATCAGTGGGTCTGGCCCTGCCAGGGGAATCCTCTTCTCCTCTTGCTTGTAGGCAGCTTCACCCAGCAAGGTAATTGGCCCAAGCACGTTAGCTTCCCTCCCAAAGACAAACCATTTCTGTACACGTCTTTGGAGAGGTGAGCTCCTTGCTGAGGCCAGAGCAAGCGCAAGCCATGGAGTAGGAGCGGAAGGAGTCTGTGGTTCCCCCAGGACCTGGAGGCTGTCAGTACCCTTGATCCTGCCTCCTCCCATTGGTTTAGGTTCTGAGCAACTCCTCGAGCCCCTCCTCTCCCCTGCTGAGTTGGGCAGCATAGGCTACCCTCTCAGCCTCAGTGGTCTCAGTTCCTCTTAGGCTCCTCATCAAATGGCAGGCTGCCCCTGGGCAGGACTTCCAGTGTCTGGTACCCATGAGGTGACACAAGCAGCATCCTTAAGGACCTGAGCCCAGTGGGGGAGGTAGAGGGGCTCAGGCCCGTGTGCATGGAGTGAGGTATGTGTGGATCTGTGTGCACGCGTGCATGCCTTTATTTCTTTTTGCCTTGGGGGCAGTTGAATTCGGGGCATTTTTCTACAAGAAACAGCCTTCTCTTCCCCCAACAAGGACTGGCTGTAACCTTAAGTCCGTCGAAGGCACTTCCAGCCTGGAGAGAACCTCACCAAGACAGCTGTGGCCAAGGTGGGAAGTGGGTATGAGAATAAACACCTCCCCAAATTCAACCTGAGCCCTAGCAGGAGAGGATGGTGGGGTTGCCAGGGCTCAGAAATGGAAGCTGATTCCCCACCCCACCCTGCCTTGTCTTTTTTTTTATCCTTGGGTGAATGCTGGAGCAGCAATTGCTGCTTCCTCCACCTGGACAGTGGTGTGTAGCAAGCAAGCTGGGTGGTTGTTTGTGGTGGGGCCTCGTGGTGCCTGGGAGGAGATGAAGATGAGGAGGTTTTTCCTTACTGTATAAATGAATATTTGTATGATTAAATTAACACACACCAAAAAACAAACAAAAAAAAAACCAACCCTATTTTCTTGTGTGTCAGTGAGTTTTATTGTGTCCTGAAGCCCCTGTATGTCTGCTTGGTCCCAGGGTGGCTCTGATAATGCGATTTTTGGTTTCTCAGTCTCCTTTTGCAGAAGGGAAAACTGAGACCCTGACGTTCATTTTATGTTTGGGAAATCAGTCCTAGGGTTATAATTGGATCTGCTGCTCTTCCTGGCTTCCAGTGGCCAGAAAAGTGAAACTGCCTTCAATGGTCTTTAGGTCCCCAGGGTACCATGTGTCTAAGGAGCATTACTCTGTCCCCAGCACATAGGATGTACTGGTCAAGTTAATGTTGATCAGCCAGCAGGCATCACTTGGGCATTTACTGTTTGTCAGGCACATTGTGCAGGTACAGGAATAGCACAAGAAGAATGCAAAGCACTGTGGGCATCTTTCCTACTGGGAAAGCAGACAAAGCCAAGTTGGACAGTCCTTCAAAGTCCCAGCTGGGCCCCTGGCATCCTAGATTTAGAAGAGGGAATGCATCTTCCCTTGTGTGTTTCCCTTAGTGGTTCTGGTAGATTATGAACTACATAAGTTTTTGCGGACTAGCCTGGGAACCTGAGAGCCAGGTAGGGATCACACTCCAGGCAGTTGGCAAGCAAACTTGGAATCTGCCCCTGCGTACTTATGAGACAGTCCTATGACCTTGGCCAGGAGATAGGAAGGCAGGTTACACAGTGGTCAGATAGCATGAAAGAAACTTAATTGACAAATATGGCAAATGGTGGGTTCACTGGGTCCATCCCTTCATGTCTGAAGCATTCTTAGGAGCTCAGAACTCAAGTTTGTCCTTAGTCACATCATCACCGTTTCTGTGTTGAAGGGAAAGTGAAATCAGAGAGGGAAGGGAGTTGCTTATGTCTTACTGCTCAGACCCATGGCATTGGCTCCCAGATGCTGGCATTACACTTAATTGCAGACCCCCAGATTGGGCCTTCACCCTGGCTGGCATGGCTTTGTATTCTAAATGATGGTGGCCCTGGCAGTGAGCCAAGGGATCCAGGATTCAGTAGCTGGGGGAGGGGATTCCCTGGCCATCTTCCTGTAGGCAGCTCAGTGAGGGAACCTGTGGCCACAGATTGCACGAGACAAAGGAGGCAGCACAGAAGAACCCTGGTCTCTGCTTCAAAGCCCCAAGGTCTCTGTATAGCCTGACACAGAGCCCAGGGCTAGGGAGCCAGGAGGCTGGCCCAGAAACCCCTGTGGTGTGAGCACCCTTGCCTCTGCCCGCGGTGCGAACAGTGCACCTGCATCCTCCTTGCTTCCAAGTGCCCACGGTTATTTGTCCTCTGCAGAAGAGAGGCCCCCACCCTGTCACCTGGGTCTTCTGGCAGCTCAGACCCACTCCCAGGCCTTCCCCAACATCCCCACCGTTGCAGTTATTTGCTTGGCAGAAGCTGTTTGTCTTTGGGGCTGTAACCTGTCAAGAAGTTACCAGGCCCTGGGAGAAAGGAGCAGATTTGATGGTGGCTTCTGGCCTGAGCCATTCCCACGGGGGCTAGGTGACAGGGAGGGGGCTTTCAGCTGAGCTTTTGTCTAGGGGTGGGGGGTGTGGAGGCAGTTGCAGTGGTCTGGGCCCAGCCCTCCCTGCAGAGCAAATAGGTCCTCTCAAGTCACCTCCCTGCCCCAGCTCAGGTTGTACAAGGTGCCTCCCACCCTGTTCTTGAGAAGGCCCCTCCCTCACCTGCTTGCTGTGACCCGGACACTTTCCCAGGCACCACCTGATGTCCAGCCCTGTCTGGCGGCCAAGAGAACAGGCACAGAGGGCACTCATGCCTTTATTTCAAAAATGGGAGTGGAGCAGGGAGCAGGCGAGACTGCTTGAGACAGGGAGAAGTGTGAATTTGGGAGTCAGGGTGTCCAGAGAATGGCTTCTCTGACAGGCTAGCGTGACTGGTAAGTCTCGGATGCCTCCTCTATAAAATGAAGACGTTGTTTGGACTTGGGTGGAACTCACAGATTTTTAAAAATATCCTTTTTAGCCCTTAGTTCTGAGATGCTGTGATCTGGGGCATTGCTTCCCAAACTTGAATGTGTTAAAAGGGAAATTCTGATGTAGAAGATCCTGGGAAAGAGGGCAAGATTCTGTTTCTAACAAGCTCCCAAGTGAGTGGATGCTGCTGATCCTCAGATTCCTCAGACCACCCTTTGCGTGAGGATAGTAAGGGTGGCCTGAAGGGGTTAACCCCTCGTCCACCTGGTCTGTGAAACTGAGCCAGATCTAGCCAGGGCTGTGTTGACCAGGTTCACTAGAGTTTGAAGGAGCTGAAGTCATTTAGAACAGTGATGTTCAAAATGTGGGCCAGGGTTCCCTAGCATTTCCCAGGATTTATTCAAGGCTGTGATTTCTAGCTTAAATATTACTTTTAGTGTGCTGCTTTTCCATCACAAACAACAAATGTCTGAATGTCCACTATAATTATGGTAATACTGGCTGACCAATTCCTATTAAACGACCTCATTTAATCCTCCCAACTGTCCAGATGAAGCAGGCTGGTGTGGTGCTCAGTTTGTGAAAAAGGAACTCTGAAGTGTCACGACGCCCGTGGTAATGGGAGTGCAGGCTGGGAGTATGGAGTAAGCAACCTTAGCTTAGCCCAGGAGTATCTGGGGGGCTTCTCTTCACTTAAGGACCTGAAGGATGGAGAGATGGGAATGGGATGGAGGAAACAGCTTGTGAGAAGATGGGAGAGAAGATGGTGTACTTGAGACACTGAAAGGACATCAGCACCACCATGGGGAATATTCCTTCCGGAATCTGTAATCTAGAGGGGGAAGTGTAGGAGAATATGGGCTCCTAGTTCCTTCCCTGGCCCAGTCGGGGAGAGCTCTGCTGACCTTGCCCCTTTGCAGTGCATTTACTCATTCATCTATTGGACATCATTTCCCTGCCAGGCATTATTTTAGGTGCTGGAGATACAGCAGAAACCCAGAGAGGCAAAACCCCCTACCCTTATAGAGCTGTCATTCTAGTCCAGGTAGACAGACGATTAAGAAGATGTAATGTGTCAAGAGGTGAGAGGTGGTGTGGAGAGAAAGCAAAGGCCAGGGAGTGCTAATGAGGCAGAGAGGGTTGCTGTTTTACACAGGGCAGTCAGAGAAGCCTTACTAATGTGCACAAAGCCTTGTGGGTATCTGGGTTAAGAACATTCCAGGCAGAGAGAACAGCATGTGTAAAGGCCCTGAGGCAGGAGCTTGGCTGCTGTACAGTGAGCGAGAAGAGTAATAAGAGGTGAAGTGAGGAGAGGGGTGAGGTGGGGGCTCAGGTCACATGGGCCCTTGATGTGACTCAGACTGGAGTCACTGAAGGGTTGTGAGCACAGGGAGGGAGGGACACATCTGACATCCTTTGAAAGATCCATCTGGCTGCTGTGTTGAGAATAAACTTGGGGGGGGGGGGACAAGGGCAGAAGCAGTGAGATAGATCTGTGTTTACTGGGTGGTGTCAGTGGAGGTGGTGAGAAGAGGTTAGATGCTCAAAACATTTTGAAATTTGAGCCAACAGTATTTGCTGATGGGTTAGATGTTGAATGAGACAACTCCTGAAATTGGGACCTGAACAGCTAGAATCTACTAGACAGGTGAGTTACCTAAGAAGTATGACTGCATGAGGAGCAGGCTTGGGGTAGAAATCAGGAATGAATTTGGGGCTGTTCGGTGTGAGATGCCTGTTATGTATTGGCAGGTGAATATACAAGTCTGCAGTTTAGTGGGGAGATTGGGGCAGGGGATGTGATGTGGGCGCCATCAGCGATTAGATGTAATTAAAAGCCTCAGGACTAGATGAGATCATCAAAGGACTGCCAGCGGGTCTGACCTCATGTGTCACACACTCCCTCAAAGTCTGCTGGTTGTCCCAGCTCACTCTGCGATGATCTTCTCTGACCAAGAAGACCCCTCTTCAGACTCAGACTCATGGCTGTGGTTGACCTCTCTCCTGTCCTGGCAGTTCTGATTCTGTCCCCAGACCCTTGTGTCCCAGCCTCTCTCTGTTGGTCACTCTTGCAGACGCTTATGGAGCAAACAAGAAGCTAGGTACACCCAGGGGTGGCCCCCACCCAGGAGCCATGAGGCAGGGGCCTGGAGGAGTGAAGCCGAAGCCCCAATAGGTCATAGTTCCTGTGGTCCTGTCCTCTTAAGGACAGTCTAGGGCCCTGGAGCCGAGTTCTGGGAATTCCTCCGGCTGGGCTGCGGGGAAGGGGAGAAGTCTGAGAGAAGAGGGGGGCTGCATCTGATTGAGGGCCCAAGGAGAGAGCCTGTGGGGCCATGCTCACCGGCACCAAGCCCGCAGCCCTGGTCAGCAGCCAAGACACCCACGATCCCTGAAAGACTGGGCTGTCGCTGCTTGAGGCCTCTGAGCAACAGAGGCCCCCACACCTAGAGGGCAGCCGGACAGCAAGGGCCAGGGAGGGATTGCGGCTGAGCTGTGAAGGATGTCTTCTCAGGGTGTGGCTGCCCTGAGCTATGTTGTAGGTAGGAAGGGGAATGTGTGGAGGGCAAAAGTAGTCCCTTAGGGGTGCTGGTAGGCTGGCCACCTCAGAGCTGGTACAGGGTGGGCCCATGGCCAGCAGAGGGCACCACATGGCCCAGGCCTTGTCTGGAAAAGATGGACACTGCCCTGGCCTGGCTGCTCCTGCCAGTGTGTTTTCCAAATCCCCACTCCTCCAGGGCAAGTGTTACCTCTGGCTCTCCACTCCAGGTAGGTGAACTTAGCTCTACTGCTTCTCTGCTGTGTGACTGCTCAGTTTATTTAACCATTCAGAAGCTCAGTATCCCAATCTGTAAATAAGGACAGTTCTTTTTCCAGAGGTGTCATCAGAATTAAAATCCTTCATAAAAGTTTAGCATTGTATACATGCTGGTGAGTGTCCAGTACGCGATGACCATTGTTAGATTTTTGTGACCTGCCAGATATGGGGGGGTCTGGGCTCCTGCAGAGAGAGGACTGGGACACTGGGCATTTGGGAAGCAGAGTCCAA